AGATCAGCTTGGGCCCCGGTGACGCCGCTTGCGGCTTTAATTTAATTTTGTAGTGTACGTCGAACATAGATGGGCCGGCCAGAGTCAGTCACGTAAATAATGCGGTCGGCAACATAGGGCTATGATTCCACAGCTACGTAGAATGCAGATACGGGCATGGCAAACACACCTTTGAAAAGCTTGAAGTCTGGCGATTCCAAAAATATATACTTTCCTGGGTCTATTCGTAGTCATTTTGGTCACAATTAGAAGATGAAAACAAATATGCAAATAATAGTGTAAATTCAGGTACTGTATTCATTAATTAGCGAGTGGTGCCCATTTCAAATCAGCAGGGGATACGAAAATCACAAAAAAATGGACCAGACAGAAGCTCGTGCTGTGATCAAGTATCTCTATAAAAAGGGGATGACTCTCAAAGAAATCGCCTTCTTATTCTACTGTAAAGAAGTGGGTTGCTAACTTTAAGTGAGGCAAGGAGAGCACGAAAGATGACCCAAGGTCTGGACGACCAAAATCTGCCACCACGGACAATCAGGTTGAGGCCATCCATCGCATGGTAATGAATGACAGATGTGTCACTATCAGACATATTGGGCATTCACTAGGCAACACTTATGGCGCAGTTCAAAATGTTGTGTCGAACATCCTGGAGACAAGCAAGCTGCCTGTAAGGTGGGTGCTCTGAATGTTGACTCTACATCAGAAGTTGAATAGGTTGTAAGTTTCAAGGACGCTTTCCTCTCGTTTCCAGTCAAATCCTGGCAACTTCCTCAAGAGATTTGAGACATGGTTTCACTACTTTGATCCAGAATCAGAAGAGCAGAGCAAACAATGGACACACAAGGGTTCACAGCCGCCCAAGAAGTTCAAGCGAGTGGCATCAGTTGGTAAAGTGATGGCCTCTGTGTTCTGGGATAGCAAGAGGGTCATCATGATTGACTACATGCGATTGCAAAAAGGTCAAACAATCAATGGAGAGTACTATGCTTCAGAACTGCGACAGTTAAGAGCAGCAATCAAGGAGAAAATGAGAGGAAAGCTTCGAGCTAGTGTGATGTTGCTCACGGACAGGTGGCAGTGCCAGCACCAACCGAATGTGGCTTTGAACTGTTACCTCATCCTTCCTACTCACCTGACTTTGCACCGTCGGACTTCTGTTTCCTAAACTGAAGTCCCACTTACGTGGTCACCGTTTTGAGACTGCTGATGGCGTCATCCATGCTGTCTATAAAAATCAAGATAAAACTTTTCAGCAGGGGACATTGATGGTCAAAGTGCATTGAACTTAGAGGGGACTATGTTGAAAAATAGTGTAAAAAAAATCTTCCTTCTGTAACGTTTTATGAGGAAGGCCTATTGATAATTCCTCATGGCTAAGTATTTTTCAAGATACCTATATCAATGTACAATTTTCTTTTGCTCAATGACAAAGTTCTGAACGTCAGGCATGTGTTTTAGAAGGCACAACGATCACCAGTCAATGCCTTCTTGGTTTTCAAAGCCCAGGTATGAATTGAACTGTTGTCTACCTACAAGTCCAATCTGACAACAACTACACTGCCAGTGATCATTAATAAAAGCACTGTTTTGGATTGTTGAATGCTGTATTTATTTTCACTAACTGTCAAACAATTAAGTAACCAGGACGGATTGCAATATGTATTACCGTAGTCCCTGTTCAGGTGTAGCCTGAAAAGGGGACTTTCTAAAAATTCTGCAGCAGATATTGATAAAACTTGGCAGGTTGATGAACAAGTCTCTGCCGAGTATGCACGTAAATTTTTTTCCAGATCTGAACATCCTAAGTGGGTCTTTTTCAAGATTTTCATCCAAATTTACCTTTCATTACTGCACTGACCAAAATAAATAATTAGCTTCGATTGTAATGCTCAGGTTTTTAGGGATGTCATGACCTTGATCTGAATCAGTGACAGATGGGTTGTACCATTACCAATCTCAGTGGAAAATGTTGAGGGGTGTCAGTGCTACATTTTGATGGGAATTATAGTGGTGATAATGAAACAAATCCAGGTCCTGGTAATATACAAAGACCTGAATTAACAAAGAAGGCAAGTTGTTATTAAAGGTACATTAAGGTTTACTCAGATTTATGAATGCAGTTTCTTGAGCATGTATGAGACATAGTTTGGTTGCACTTGTGTACTCAGAGATTTTGAACCTGGGTCAAAAAAAGTAGAGTATGTATTAATTCAATTGTTTGCAGATGTTCCATGTATTATTTTAACATGAGTATTTTATAATTAAATGACGGGGACTGTGACATTCATGTCTTGTTATAAATAAAATTTACTGTCAGTGTTTATGGATATTATATCTATACTTGTACATATACATACAAGAATTACCAAAATCAAATGGATGATATACAAGTTTGATGAAGGTTGTGTAAAATGAAGTATATGGTTGTATACTGAAGTTATTGCACACATGCACACACATATACAGGTCTTACCGTAGTTGTAATGCCACACATTGGATTAACTTTTAATATAGTTGAATTAACTTTTAATATAGTTGAATTAACTTTTAATATAGTTGCGATATGAACTTGATTATAACGCATTCCTATATAGGATTGCGTTTTAATTGGAGTTTAATTAAACTCAATTACAATGCAATACAACATAGAATTGCGTTTTAATTAAGTTTAACTATTCACAATGACAAGCACTATTAATCTCCACTATTAACCAAATCTTACATTCATTCACATTACAGACCAGACAAAAAAAGCATCAAGATTAATATGGTTTGATAATTACATATTTACATTTATTGTTCAATGTACAAAATGTCCATCTAAAGTGTCTACAAAACAAAGAACATTAATAGTGACAGTCAGAATAGCATATATACCAGTACATATAATCAAGCAAAAACTGATCACATATCATTCAAACAACATACATGGTATGCCTAATAATTTCAGCGAAGAAATTACACACATATTCTGACTGAAGTGTTCATGAACATAGTTTCTGTTCAGCCCAGCTGCATAACTTGTATATAACAACGCACACATATGTACCCTCTTCCATGCCAACAACTTAATTTTAACAGTCCAGGTGTTTCATAGAAGTTGATACATGTAGAAGTTCGTTGATCTGAAGGAATAAGTCTCATGATTTCTCTTGTCCTCGCATTTCATGTAGTCTACTGATTTTAGCTTTCATTGCATCTGATTTCAATTTATTTGCAGCACGACGGCCCTCCCTCTGAAATGAAAAATGATTGTCAAATTTTTAGTCCATTTTTTTTGCAGATCTAGTACCAACTGTGGGTAGTAATGAGTTGACGTGATATCATTGGAAAGGTCTGTGTGCATATTTTTCAGAAAAGTGCAACACGTTGCCATTTAATAATATCACAGAAAATGATTTCAATAATTCCCCTACATCTTAGAAGTAACACAACCTATATCATTACCACATTAGGTGCTTGTACAATGAATGAGTCATTAAAATATCATCAATTTATCTATTTTGCGAACATGTCAAACATGTCAAACTTGCATTGTATAAAAACGAATGGTTTTGTAAATTTTAAATCTAATAATAAAAAAAACTTATATTAGTGATAAAAACCGTAATTTACAGCTTAGTTATATTTTTAGTCTCCTATATTCTAGTAAAATGACTTTTTTGAAGCATGCTTTCCAAACATCAAATAATTTTGGTGTAGCGGTAAGATATGTTGGTGACGTGGTAAACAGATAATCATGATAGACTCACAATGAATATGTCTTTTTATTCCTTAGATATAAGGGTAATAACAATATCCTTCATTAAACTACATGTATTAAACTGAAAATTAGCCAGTATATCTAAAATATAGGATATCAGGTTTCAGATTACATCATGTTTTTCCTAATTTTGTCATGTCTATGCTTGTCATTTGCATGCATCAAGATATATTCACACTTTGATTCATAAACAGTCATCCCTGTGCACAAATCATAATTTTAAGCCATTTTGGAATATAATTAGGAAAATAGTTTTGAGGTAAAGCTGAAACATAACATTGTTTGCATATATGAACAAATCGTCTCAAAATGTAGGTGGCACCGTACTTATTAGGAGGGCATTAAGCAACCGGTCACTGGTAGCATAGTGGTTGTCGCCAAGTTCAAATCCTACCTTAGGCTGAACATCAAAAGGGTCGACCACTACCCTGGGTGAGTGTGCCACAGACCCAATGGAAGGCCAATCCATTGGCCGAGATTCATTCACTAACGAACAGTGACATTCAAAGTCCGGAACTGTAGCCTGGCTTTTTTTAAAAAGGAGGGCATTAATTATTTTATTCTAAAATAAGCTTCTGATTTGACATCTCAAAGCAAACATACCACATGTATCTAACTCATTACAGTTTCAGTCTTACCTCTCTCCTAAGACATCTAACCATTGATGCATCTAACTCATTACAGGCACCAATAAACTTCTTCCAAGGATTCTGAAAATAATTTGACACTATCAGAGTTTGCAATATACATGTATGCATCTATAATGACTACTGGTACCATTAGGAGAAACTGAAGGATTGCATCTCTGTGGTTTACTCTGTTTTGCCTTCCTTCATCAAACTAACTATTGCATTTATAAATACTATGTCTTTAATAGTGAAACAAATTACTAAGGCCAGACTTTTATTATCCCTTGTTTCGCAAACCCGCCGAATGAACAGGAGCCGAAAATGAAATAAAAATAAAATTTTATTTCAGTGAAATTTCTGAAGCCCGTCGACTTGTAAGTGCAAGAAATTGCTAAAAAAAACTTATTTTTATCTTCATTTTTTTCCGCTCGCCGAGAAACAAACTTAAGTTGCATTTTCGTGGAAGTATCATGATCAAAGTACCGAAGTCTCGCACAGATGAGAAACAAGGTTATACAAGGAATAAAATTTTATTTCATTTCTTCTCTCCGATCAATGATCTCACTTACAATTCTTTGAGAATCACACAAATCTAAAAAAATTGCCTTATAAAAACTCGAGAAACAAGGAATAAAAAAAGTCTGGTCTAACTTATCTTGTAAAATAGAATAAAATTTATGAATTCTCTCAGAGTGTAACTCTCATACCTCTTTGTGACAGTTGTGTAATTGTTGTATAATAATATTACACTCTTCACTGTGCAAATGAGGAGACAGATCACCATGCATTATGCAGTCTGAAAACAAGTACATGTATTGAATCCATGACATATTATAACACAATCAAAACAAAATGTTCTACATGTATAGCTTGAGATATTATTATTTGACATGGTTATTTGTTTTCCCACAATGTTCTAGCCATATCACAACTATAACACTTTATTTCATGACATGGTAATTACAATTGTTATCTTGTTATCAATCTCATGGAAGTCAACTCAGTCAACCTATGGACTCTACATACAAGTACAGGAGCAATTGAGCTGATAGTTTTTAGGAATAAGTCGAAAAAAGCTGTGTTTTTTTTCAAAAATGCCAAAAATATTTGCTAAAATATAAAAATCAGGAAGAGAAAAAATCTAACAAAACAATTTTGCATACTTTTCAGCACTGTAAAACCTTACAAAATTATTGAAAATACTGTTTTTAGATATTATTAGCAATCAATGGTGACAGAATAAAGGGCAATTTGTGTCAACTTATTAATTATCTTTAACAGTTAATTTTTTTTATTGTTTTATTGACCTTACTGCTGTACTTTCTAACATCAGTGTTGTGTCAAATAATAAATGTAAATACTTTAGTCAAAACCAAAGTGGTTGGTGAATTAGTCACAACTTGCTTCTCCAATACTTCTGAGATGTACTGTAAAGACAGGTCGCAACAGGGGGTCAGGAAAAGACGAAATGCTTTCATTAGCGTGGGAGGGTGGCATAGTTTGTAATTGGTCCTGACAACGTTTGGGGATCATGACGTAGCTCAGTCTTAGAGAATATCAATTTATCTTAACCCTGCATACATGGACTGTGTCGGAGGCTTAGTATCATAATACGGACGGACGATCGTCCGACCACATTGTCCATTAGTTCGTCCGATCAACACAGCGCTATACATAGGGCATGAATGTAATAATAATAATAATAATAATCTTTATTGATAAACGTATCCTTAATTGAGATATTGTTTGTGATACAATAAAGTTAAATGTTGTAAGTTAAAAATGGAAAAATGTACGTCCATGCATAGGGCCTACTACATGTATATATCTATGATAGAGGGACTGTGCCAGAACGTTTTGTTTACAGTTAGTTCTTGAATACATCTTAGTGACTTTTAAATTAATAAAAATAGCAGTTATGTGGCGCCCTTATCTATTTCAGAAGGAAATTATGCTTATCATGTTACACCCAGCGACACTGATGCCAGCTGACTGTACGTGTTACCATGGACGTTAGTACATAGTCCATGATCTTATGGTATACATAGAACCAGCTTCACCAAATTTAGGATATCTGCACATACCCTACCAATTGAAAAACTTAGATATCAAGGGATACCTCCAGAGGAAAGAAAGTGCCAACTTTGTAACAATGGGGCTATTGGCAATGAAATCCATGCACTTTTAGACTGTAACCATACTGGAATAACAAATGCTCGTACTGAATTTCTGAATGTAGTTAGCATTTATAATGAAAGTATCCTTAAACTATCAAAACAACAAATGTTTACAGAAATTTTAAGTTCGAGAGATGGGTTCATTGCCAATAGTGCTAGCAAATTTATTGACAGCATACTATTTTATTATAAGTAATTTTACTTAGACTTTAGTTATTTATGTATTTTCTTTTGTCTCGTGTGTGTACTTGTGTTTTATTATATTTAATGTCTTTTGACCACAGATAATGTAACAAAATATATTATTTAGTGTCAAATAAAATATACTATACTATACTATACTAGCCCTGGGTACAGTCCTGTAAGTGTAGGTTGGCCTCCTTCCGCTGATCATTCCGCCCCATGTCGGAAGGAGACCAACCACGGAGCTAAAAAATAAGCCAACCTACAGGACTGTACTCAGAGCTAACGGCTACGGTATACGTGCTCCCCGAACTTATTTGTACCCCTCCCCGAGATATTAGAGGCATAGCAAAATATAACCATGTGATCGTGATGATGAGACACATAGATAGATAGATATATACTGGAAGACTGTACTTTACCTAGATATATATATCAAATATAATGAACAATGAGTACACCAAATACGTAACTCCGGTAATAATTGGGAATTTGGAAAGACTGAGCAGTTACAACTGAAATTACACATGACAAAAGGTCATCAACGTAAAGTTCACAAACCCGGAAGTAATTTTAGAGAGATGCTTTGTGGGTAATTTTATATCACGTGAGTGTAGCTCTGTTTCTTATTGGTTGTAAGAATGATGAGCGCCATCTTCAACTTTTTTTTCGAAAATTCGACATTTTCATTAGCGTTGCTTCCGGTAAACTATCGGCTACTGTTTTTATTGTTATTTTTATTTATTTTACACTCGGTTACATTTTATTGAAGTGGTCGAAATGGTACTGGCGTATCCGACTATCTTTGGTCGTTAAACGTTTGTGTTATGGATGTTTTGTTCCTTCTGCGGAAAGTGTTGAATCGTTTTCGAAAAGCGGATTTTGAAATCGTCTTACCAGAATGGGGATTTGTTGTTATTGGTGAGGAGGGACTGCACTTGGATTTCAACCGAGCCACCAAAGCAGTCATTGTCAGCCGTATAACAGAATATTGCAAGGTATGTGAATCGCGCAATGAATACATTTATATCAAACTATTTCCACAAGCATGTTCTACTGACGCTTGCACTTTAAATCACAAGTACATTACATTATTGTTAAATTAGTGCTAGCTGGCTGGCTGTCAGTTTTGTTCTCATATACGATTCTCAAAAGAAGCTCAGGGTATTTTGTCATCCTGTATCGTAAACGCGTTTGATGACTGCCGGTTTAACTTGCTGAGTTGCAAAATTTACCCTTAATTATGGCTTTATTTTTTCTGTCAAGAATGCATTCAAATATTTTGAGATCTCGTGTGCAATCAACTGATTGTGTTTATATGGGTCTGCAAGTGTCACAGATAATTTTCTCAGTTTGACATATTTACTCACTTGTCACGAAATTAAAAAATGCTGCCATTCAATTATAAACCAACAATGAAATTATATCCCAATGTTTTACATGTAGATTGAATAAACTTGTTCACACTTGTAGACGATGAAAAAGAGTTGCATGTTTGTTTTGTATTAAATCTTTGTGAGAATGTCACTTGTATGAATATGGTAACCCTTGTCTTAATGCTGATTATAGTTGTTGTTATAATTAATCTTGTTAATTAAGTCAATGTCAATTATGCATAGATAACTTCTCTCACTTCTTACTGTTGATATTTTTCTAGCGCAAGAACATAACTTTAGATGATGTAGCTGAACTTGATCTAATTTGTAAGTTTTTTTTTGCTTTGTTATTTTGTTGTATACATATGTATGTATGCATACTATTGCGCCTTTGTTGACGGATTCACTTTGACGCAAACTACGCCTGACACAATGCTGTAGTTTTCTGTTATCCCGAAAATATTTTGTCTGCTACAATCAGATTGCAGAAGCACATTCCTCTTGTTGACATAATGTCTGACAATGTACAGGATTGTTCCTATTCATTATTTACCCCCAAAAAATTAATCCTGCGACAACATAATAATTTTCTTTGCTATTGATTATTTTCAGTAATGTTTTTATTTTGATTGCCATGAATGCTATCAAAAATGCTGTGTGCAAATTAGGAACAGGGTGAAGTAGGAATTAAAAATTCAGCTGTGACCAATCACATTCAAAATTCACCATGTATCACACATCATGTAATACATAAGCACATGCATTTGTTTCATGATCCAATTCAATATGGCCAAATAGCAGTCATTTTAGTGCTAAAAATTCATCAAAAGCAAGCATTTCTACCATTCTATAACTGGATTGTGCATGAACATATTTTATTCAAACCTTTTTGCACATGCATCTGTTTCAGAATCTGATTCAAGATAGCTGATGATCATTTTCGTGCTAGAAATGCATTATGAATGTCATTGGCAGAATAAAGGAAGGAATTACACAAATAAACTGGCTCCACTTTGTATCATGTTTGTCACATGAGTGTAAATAATTTGGCACTAAAAACTGGATGGGGACTTGTCATTGAAATTGACTTGTTGTATTGGGATTTAAAATTATCCATTGATACATAAATAATTATTAATTTTTATGTTTCTAAGCATAAATTATTTTTTTAAGTGAAAAAATGCGTTTTAAACTCAGTCTACAGCAACTATATTTTTGTGTATTTTAAAACGAGGCTCCTCATTAGCTTCTCATTTGCATACAGAAATTCCTCCTGTGACGTCAGAAGGGGAAGTTGCCGAGTAGCTTGCATTGCCGATACATATAAATAAGGCAAATTTCTTGTGCTGTTTTCTTATCTTTGACTAAATTGCCACTTGTGTACTTGTTCGTACTTGTTACATAGTATCTAGTTTGTTGCATGGGGTTGAGTCAGATGCGAAATATGTTCGGTCTGGTGTAGCTAGTCACAGTGGTCGTCACAGTCACCGGCGCATGTTTGTACACTGTCGCTGGACTCCGGCACTGGACAAAATCAAATTTGACGCCTGAATCGTCTTGTTATTTAGCAGGTTACTAGGCACGTCACTACACTGTTTTATTTCATCGGTCGTCTGAGTAAAAAAAAACACATTCAAAATTAAAATAAAAAGAGGACATATTTTGATATTCTAAACATTAAATTATATAGTGTGAAATAGAGAAATAATTAAAAAAACGACAAAACACAGTTACTAAATAAATGACTGCCGCGTGGAAATAAATTTGTTGTAATGGGTGAACGCGTCGGGTCATGACGGGGACAAGTGCGTGAATGGCGGCGTTTAATTGGATAACAAAAATAATTGAGAGCCACTCACGTACAGACAAATTCAGAAAAATACATTGACAGCCCAAGCCCGGATTCTTATTCCATAAATTATTATGCAGATCAAGCTGCAAGTAAAGGCAACAAAGGTGTGGATTCGACATTCAACACCAATCACCGAACAATTCAGACACTTTTAGCCTGCGAAAATGAAAACAGCCTGAGGGCTGCGGAATTTCTTGTTTGTCCTACGCTTCGTTTTCGTGTCATTATCAAAATTACTGCTACCTTTTACATAACACGGGTGGTCTCTATAAAGCGATAATCAGGATTGCAAAAGAAATCAACTCATTTGAAACCCTTACCCGACATCTCTCTCCTTTCCGAAATCCGCCTCAGTGATAATGGGCTAGTTTGGCTAGAAAATATTTTTTCGAAAACGTTTTGTTTTGCGCCAGGTTTAAGTTGTCGGCGTTTCTCGTTAAAACCTAGTTGTTTTGTCACAGGTTTTCGAAACTGAGGTGAAGTGGACACTACATACATGTATGACGCTGTAAGGAGGAAGTCCACCCCTACCTTTTCTCATTAATTTCACGGCTTTCGTCCACCGATTTCGCACCTTCGGATCGATTGGAAATGTGTACTTACACTATGACTATACGCATTACTGCAACCGCCCACAACACAACGTTTAACCATCATAAATGTTTGTTGTGAAAACAACTTCTAAAAATTCGTTCTCTCAAAAATAAAATAAAACAGACAAAAAAAAAAGAAACGCCGATCAAAAAATGTACCGGATTCGGCTGATACCCCGCCCTGGGCGATCTGATGGAGAATTTGATTTTTTTTAACAAAAATGTGGACCAAAAGATCTTTTGGCAGATATTACGAGGCCCATCTGTCTGGGAAAAATACCCCTGCGTTGATAAAAATGGTCTAGAAAAAAATAATGTTTCGCGTTGACCAAATATAATCATGCAAAGTATAAATTCAAAGTGTTTTAATACATTGGTGAGAGGTCGCATTTTACGTGAACAAGAACATGCACTAAGAAGGAAAAGCAAGTCAAAGTCGAAACTGGGTGCATCATGGACATGGCACAACACACGCTGCGACAACTGAGTGATCAGCGACATCATTTTGATACGCAATTGAACTTCAAGTACTTCGCGAAACTTGCTGCGCGATTACGCAAATTATGTTTACAATTTTGTACCAGCTCTGAATATTTCAACTTTGTAATGTACTGCTTTCATGATAATTACGCAAACTCAAGTTAATTTTTACTATTGCTGACCCGGGGTATTGGGTCTGTGAATATTTCAATATTACCGACTTGATAATGCGTTGCATTCGTAATAATTACGCAAACATAAACATGGGCGCATTTAAATCATTAAAAATGATAGTAGTCTGGTATCCACGGAAAGTCGAGAAAATATTTTAAATACTTGTGATTCATCGATGTTCCAATGGTGATTTTTTTTTAATTTTAAATGAATTGAACATGTAATATAAACCATACCATGCGTCAAATTAAATTTTACTATAATATAATACTAGTACACTCTGGACAGCGCACTTCGATCGCAATATTCACGTACATTTCGACTGAACTATAATAACCACGTGCGGCATTGGGCAATGACCTCCAGAGTTCACGCACTGATATTTAAATTCAGGCCATCCAGCTTGACGCAAATCAATATAGTTACTTGTCATGTGTTCAAAAAATCTTTCAACTCTCACAAAAACCATGAACGCGAAGAGTTAACTGAAAGGGAACCTTCTTTTTTGGACAAAAAACACGTCAGTACAAGATTATGTGTACAAGGTTAGCTTTATAGAACGTACACGACCGCTTAACTCTGTTTTTTAATAATCATGTCGTATGTAAAACGCGGGAGACATTTTAGTTTGCCTATTTCTTGTTTATCGACTTTTTGTCTGGAATGCGATACAGACAAAGATTAAACATTACTGATAACAACCAAGAGGCTCGAACCAGGAAGGCTTGGATATTTTAAACTTCGTAAATAACATTCTTTTCAAGCGTAGACTTTATTCAAGTGAAATGTATTTTAACGAGTTATGACTACGCAACAACAATTCGTATACAGCATTGGTTTTATTGAAGTTTTAATGCTTTTCGACTTCACAGTAAATTATTTTAGCGTCATATTTGAAATAGCGCGCTCGATACAAGATGTCGGACGGGAAAATTGGGGTCTGTAAAAATGTTTGTTGGTTCAGTCAGGCAATGTGTGGACCAAAACATCGCCCACTATTTGAAACATCGCCCATGGGCGGGGTTTAGAATGGGCGGGGTATCAGCCGAATCCGGTATATCGTTTAAAAGTATGTTGAATGACACAGTGATATAAAAGTTCGGCCCAGGGGTATGGCTTCCTCTCATATTTTAGCATTTGGTGGCGCACTTTCGGCGAGAGTCGGAAATACGGAAACAGTGGACCGTTTCAGGATAGATGGGTGTGGCTACAGCACGGGAAATATCTCAAATTTACTTGGATAAGAGTAATCATTTTCAGCAAAAAAATCAATAATTGCCAATTTCAGTTCGGCACAGATCTAAAATGGAAAGCCTGTGAGTAGGCATTGCACAGGCACTTTAAACTCAGTTGCTATGGCTACAAAAATGAATATTCAAAAAAAAGTAAAAAAAACTACAACATAGGCTCGTCTATATGGCTATGATGTTGCTTGTATAAACTGCAGCATTGTTTCAGGCGTAGTTTTGTCCAAGTAAACCTGATGGCAAGGGCACAATAACTGTCAGTGACCATGTCATGTTAGCCCTGCTTATGACCATCCAATCCTGCCATACCTATCAACAGTTAAAAAACAATGTATATAATAATATTTTAACCTGCTGAAAACCTGTGCTGTATGAAGAAGTAATTGTGCTACATGTATAATGCCTCATTAAAATATTAGAAGCGTAACAGAAGCCCAAAATAACATTTGCTATATATTGAATCATTAAAATGTTACATATTTTGACTATAGAAATTTCCAGTTTTTCTGACTAAACTGTAACAAAATCACATCACAATCACCTTAATTTAGACCACTGTCGGGGTAAAACTTTAGTTTCTAATTTACATAAAATTTGCATATTATTTGCCTAATTATTTTGTAGAGCAATTATAATAGTTAACATACTCATTGAAACACACACAATAATTCACTGTACAAAATTCCTATTGCATTAAAAGTAATGGAACCTCCATGAGTTTTTATTTTTCAGCAATCTGAATGTATCAATTTTATATAAAAATTTAGCAATGGCACAGTGGAAATAAACCCCTATTGGGTGTCAGACCATTGTGGTAGTAAAACAAAGCACTTCTTTGGTGCTGCCACACTGTTTGTATCCTGAAAATACTGCTTTGTGATTTAACAAGTAAATTTATAATATTAATTTTGTTGTTCTGTGATAGTAATATTTGTTCACTTTTTTGTCTTGGGGATGTAGAGACCTAAAACGCACATGTGTTTTTTTTTTATGTGTTGCCAATAAGGCTACCATGATATCTGTAAACAGCATTTTTTGCTATTTGGTGACATAAAGTGAAAACCTGACTCATGAAAATGTCGCTTGTGAAATTAAAATGGTTTACAGTATACATTTTGTTTGTATTTCAATAGATAACCATTGGCACCAAAACAACAGAAATTGGCAAGTCTACAGGTTAACTGGGGCAGAAGGTAAGATGTGAAGTATATTAAGGGTCTGGGAGAATAATACATTGTGTCTAGTGATCTTCACGAAGTGAAATGCTAGATAGGTGATCTTTTGAATTTAACAAAACAAATGTAAATGGAATATTTTGAACTTATTAATTATTATTTATGTTACTAATATATGAACAGTCTTGAAATCAAGCTAAGCTAGATTTAATCACCCAATCCCACAACACAAGTATTTTGTATCATCTGATTCTCAGAAGTTTGGCTCTGACAATAAGCAGGTAATGAGATAAATCTAAATCAAAATGGCATGATGTAAGACCATTATATTAATAATAACAATAATTGTGCAGTTAGTACATCATGTTTTATATGTAGCTTTGAGAGACAGGGCAATACCTAATTTATCCAAAGAAAAATCGCTTAGTTCATGTCATTCACAATTTTTATGCAAAATATTGAAAAAAATGCAAAATGGACAATAAATCAATTCAGGACCAGACCAAATTATTTAAAAGTCTTTTATTTGTTACAGGTATGAAGAAAGATGCACCTATTGTTCCACCTGATTTTGAATTTACCTTACGAAAACAACTTTCCTTCTATTTCAGACATGTAAGTATTCCTGTGTACAGCTATACATACATTCTGTCAGTTACCTACTGATTCCTAGAAATGCTGCTAAAAGTTTGCTCATTAACCATGTAAACTTTTTATTGCTATGGCAACTTTCAATATCTACTTTGCAAACAGAAATATATAGTATTAAAAAGACATTTTTCAAGTTCATGTATCAATTTGAAATATTCTACTGTAATCTACACTAGTATTACAGACACTGTACACTAGTAAGATCGAGACAATAACTGCAAATTATCTCAAGAAACTGCTGAATTGATTAGCGTGTGAGTTTACAGTTTTTCCAATAATTTTTTTTTTAAATTACTGGTTTTGCATGCAGGGAGTGGAGCATGCCACTTTCATATGGGGGGGGGGGCACATGCAGCTTCTCACCAGAACATTCTCGAGTGCACTGAATGGCTGAATTTTAGGCTACTAATCTTGCTCAGAGGAAGTGTTTGTAACAACCTTAATTAAAGAAAACAATGAAAGAATCGCTTGTCAAAGAAAGATGAAGGATATTTCAATAGCGTGTTGAGGAAAAGATGTTACCGGTACTAGTGTTTGTGATCAGTTCTGACAATGTTTGTGAGATTGTGACGACATTTTTGAGAATGTACTGAACTGTGTTTTTATGGACAATGTCATCAAACACACACACACACATTACGCATGCAAATCCAATTTAAGTAGTTTGCTCTCAGAACACGAGTACCCATTCCACACAAACAATTGTGATCAAATTTGACTCGGGGTCAAGTAATTGACCACTGACATACATGTATTCATGTATCAAGTCATTGAATATGTACATGTATGGTGAATTCTGGGTTCGTGGCATTTTCTATTTCTCTCCCCATTCATTTACTTATAGTTACTAATACTCATTTATGCATTTATAGATTTATTTTTTTGTTGTATTTTTTAAATAATGTTTCAAAGGCGTAATTGGATATAATTTTAAATACATATTCAAATATGTATTTGAAATCCAGTTTAAGTAATTGTTGCCATCTTGATGTTTATTTATTTATTTGTTTGTTTGTATATACCGGGTAATTATAATTTTGGTCACCACTTGCTTTATGAACAAAAGAGGATTTTTGGCAGTGATCTGTCAGAAGAAAATTTAAATTGATTTCCCAAGCATGTAAACAGTCAGCATGTTCAAGACATTGTTACGCTATTCTGTCGTCAGCTTTGTTAGCTCCGCTGTCGACTTTGTCGAGCGGAGCTTATCATATGAGTGATTGTCCGTCGTCGTCCGTCGCCTGTGTCAATGTTTTACTTTTTCAACTTCTTCTTGAAAACTACAAGCCTGAAGGCTTTGATACTTAGTGTATATGTACCTTGGGTAGACCTCTCTCAGATTTGTTCATTTCATGATGATATCTTCAATTCTCTAATTTTGGTGAATATTTTTGTCATTTTTGGTAAAAAGTGATATTTTCAACTTCTTGTTAAAAACCGCAAGTCCAATTGCTTTGATATTACATATATAGGTACTACATGTGGACCTCTCTCAGATTTGTTCATTTTGTAATGATATCTTTAATTCTCTAATTTTGGTGAATATTTTTGTAATTTTTGGTAAAAAGTGATATTTTCCAGATCTTGTTGAAAACTGCAAGTCTGATTGTTTTGATACTATACAATCATATTGTTTATTTTTTAATGATACTTTCTGTTCTTTAATTGAAATGTGCATTGCTAACAGCGGAGCTATCTCAGCCGATAGGCTGCTTGTTATTATTACTCATAGTTTTCAGTGTGGTAATATTTGACCATTATATTCTATGGAAATGTCTCTCCCATTATCTATTGCCTTATTCTGAACAAGCAAAGTAGATGCAAAATTTGTGTTCGCCTCAACTCCTTTAACAAGTATTCTTTATTTTCTGTTGTTTGATACATTAGTGGTTAGAGAGTTGCTCTTCTTGTGTCAACATTGTACTTAGTAAAAGAAGATTCTATTTTATCATGTTTTCTTTTTTGTGGTTAAAATGATATCTTCATCTTCATTAAAAGCCTTGGTGATGTGTACTTTGGTAGAAAGTATTCCCTGTTGTCTGTGTTGTGTGTGCACTTTGAATTCCAGATGTCTTTTTGCTGTACATTGTATATTATTTAATCTGTGAAGTGAAATAAGCTTTTAAAGATGTACAATGTAGTATAGTTTTCCAGAAAGTAAAATACATATTAATTATATTCCCAGAAGAGTCGTTCCAAACCATTTCAACCTACATGTATATATTTTATGAAAGCCCAGACTTTACCCTAAATAAAAATCAATGTTGTATCAGGCGTAAGCTTCAATTAGTCAAGTGATCATTAAGTAAATAAATCTTTTATTGAGACTTTGAATCAGTGTTGTGAAGAAATTAAAAGGGCTATGGAAAATGTTTTCATCAAAAATTGTAGAATAAAACATTAGAAACATGTAGGTCGAAACGATTTTGTGCAACTTTTCTGGTTTGTTTCTGTTGAACAGGTCTAAGTTTGTGTTTTACTAGAATGTGGAGTTGGTTTTTACATTGGAGAAGTAAAACCTCTAGAATGTGTAAATTTATAAAAGAATCCTGTTGTCTTATACCGCATCTACAGTCACTGAAAAAAAGGGAAGAAATGTGATGAGTGCTCACTGAGTACTATTTATTTGATTGACTGGGTTTGCGCTAATAATGAATTGCCATAGTAGTTGTAGTAATATCTGACGTTGAGAAACCTGTTAACACTGTATTTCATAGTTCTATGTTGTAGGTAATTTAACACATTCCCCGGAGGGATTGGCAATGGTTACAAATATTTAAGAAAGAATAAAAGGTTAAAAAAACTAAGCTAATACATTACAAAAAAATAAAAATATTAAGACTATAATACTATAAAAAGATAGAAAACTGAATTCCAACTTAACTGAAAGAAAATTGTCACTGGGGCTGCTGTCTTATTTCAAAACACTTCTTTAGGCACCTTGCTACGGGGAGTGTTAGACCATTGTTGTTTAGCAAGGCAATGAATTGTGTCTTTGGTGACAAATGTTGTGCTTTCTACTAATCCGCTGTTTATCTCTGTTGTGATAAGTTCTTTGACAAAACAATGTAACCAATCTCGTCATGAATACAGTAAGCATTCATTTTTTCGAAAAAAAAGTAAAATTAAGTATTTCACTACTACATGTACTTCTTAAAGACTATCGTCGTGCAGCCTGGCAATGAGATTATCCCTACTTAATATTGAGTACATGTATTTATTTTAGTAAGTACTTTTTAGTAAGTAACTTATTCAAACCTCCTGTCTTGTACCTTGATTTATAGACTCTAGGGTGTATGGTTGGACTAAATTATGGTTGACAAGAACTAAATTAGATGAAGGTATAATGTGATTGTTCACTTTTTACTATGAAAGTGTCACCAGTAATGCCCCCTGATTGTACACTCATTAATATCTGATGTTGGTTTAGGCCTTGACCACTTTAAATTTTCTTTGCCAGTGTATAGTCTTGTTCCAAATTGCTGACATACTGTGGGCTATATTGTTTTGTTTTACCAAATTACATATTCCATAACTTTAATAACACTTTTTTTCAAACTCACTATACATGTATGAATATATGATTTTCTGTTGCATCACAGCAAATGTTTGTGTGTCAGTGGCACATTATATCGGCTTAGAGAGTATACTGGTATGAACACCTAATACATTAGCTCTGATTCCATCTGACCTTTACTGAAACACAAGTCAGCTCAAGCAGCTGTCCTCATATCAATTAGAGAAATTGAAAGAAAGAAATTGAAACTAATTGCATAAATTTGATAAAATAAAAACGCCAATCTATAAAATAAATATCTAAGTATATTATAAATAAGTATAAACATATTTGCCAGAAATTGGGGTGGACAAACTAATGGATAAAGCTTTTACACTGCAAGTATTGGTATGTAGACTGCAAAATAAATTAAAACATGGTATGCATAAAACCGTAATAAATTCCACATGATGCTGAGAATGACTTCTTTTATTATAGTATGAGACTATGATTGCAAGTATGTTTTACATAAGGCCATAACAAATTTCATAATAAATCTCTGTAGATGGTGACTGTTTTTATCTGAAATGAACTTTGAGATTAGTATAGGCTTTGTAAAATTGGATGTACATTCAGTAACTGATCACATTATCTATATCCAATGCATTTTAATGACATGTTTTGCAGAGATTCAATATCTTAATGAGTTTCAACAAGACATCTTTACTTAGTTAATTTGCATATGTTTCATTGTAATTCATTACTTCATTGTGCCATAGCTTCCATGAAAACATTTGGTCATCTTAAATGTCAGCTAGACAGTGTTAAAATACTGTACCGGTAAATGCAGTAATTTTTCTCAGCATTTTAGTTTTGCTATTTTCAGTGATGAATAAAATCCACTAAATAAGATCCACGTGAACATGTAAAATAACAATATAACTCATTGTTTCCCTGGCAAATTTGTGAACTTAAAACCCAGTGAAATTGATAAAAAATACTAAAATTGTGAAATTAAATGTCTGAAAATAAATGGTTTTACAGTACTTTTAAATTTGGCTACAAGAAATGTTACAATTAATTTGTTCATCCACATAAAAGTAAGTAAAACAACAACAAAAAACATTTTTAAATTGTTTAAAGTATAAATTTTAATTAACTATATGAAAATGAAAAATATTGTGACCTTTAATAATTCAAGTTTGTAATTACATAAACAAAGCAGTTATTAGTCACCATGGTTACAACTATTTATCCCTAGCAGAATTCCAGTGCTTTAGTGATCATTGTCAAACATTTATAAAACATTGGTATGTCATAATATTTAATATTTCACATTTTTTGAAGCTTTTAACTTGTGTCCCTTCTGATTAACTTACATATAAAATGTTTGTTTTAGTTCTAGATGTTTTGTTTTAATATGCTATATTCTATTATATCGTCATTTTGCCATGTGAAATTCAGCACTTGTTTTAATACACTTAATGTTATCTGTTCAGCATGTTCACTTTGCAGCAGTGAGGATCTGGGTTTGATTCTGAGAGCCGACTGCTTACTCAGCAGTTTACATTGTAAATCAGAGTACAGTCTGCCCTACCTTCCAAACACTCAGTTTTATGCTTGGGAAACTAGTTTGCACACTTGCAATTAACACAGGAGAGACACCTTGCACAAAAATATTTAAAAGGAAAAAGAAATGTTGCAATCCTGAAGTGTTTTGTGGAGGGGTGTAAAGTTATGTATCAATCATTTATCTCATTTGTACATGCAGCAGCCATACTATTGATTGAAATTAATAATGAATATTATTACCATATTTGCTTTCAATAGTAACACATGCATTGACATAAAAGACAGAGGTGTGTCTATAATCAAAATAACTTTATGATCTAGCATACAGTGAATTTAATTTGTGTTTTTTGTTTCATACACACATGTTATCATATTCTACTCAAATTATTAGAAACATATACTCAAACATTAAAGCTAGTTTTAACACAAATAATTATATATCCGAGCCATTTAATATCAGCAGAAGAGTGTCATGAGCCCCACGCTTTTTAATATCCTTATTAATGATTTAAAAGACAATTTGGACAATGTTAAAACAGATTCCCCTTCACTAAATAATACAATAGTTAAAGGGTGGCAGTCGTCGTTCCGCATCCTGTTCAATATGGGACTCATAGCGACGTATACAACGCGTGTAAAATACATTGTTTATTTACATGAAATTCGAACAATCTAGGAATTGTTTTTAAATCAAATGGGAGTTTCAATGATGCAATGTCACACTTGGCAAGTAAAGCAACCAAATCAATTCACATTATCAATAAGTTATATTTGGAAATACAGACATTGAATTAAAAATAAATTATTTAACATTTATATCAAACCGATTTACTTTATGGATCAGAAATATGGGCATTGGATTTTAATGACAATATTAAATGGGACGAAACAACAATTGAAAAAATTAATATTAAATTTTGTAAATAAATTTTGCAAGTGAATAAAACATCCTGTAACATGGCATCTAGAGCTGAGGTGGGTCAATATCCACTTTTTCTTTGTGTAAAGATACAGGCCATTAAATACTGACTCCCAGATGATAATCTAACAAAACAGGCATACTGTAAAGGGGTTAATTATTCACTGGGTTTTAATTTTGCTTATTTCACTGACTGGAAAATGCGCTAAATTAAAAGCCATTGAATATGTAAAATTTAGCATAGAAAACATTATCTAAAAGATAAAACAGTGCATTTAAAACCTACTGAATATGCCTGAAATGGCAAATCAGCAAAATTTAAACCAAGTGAAAATTAGTCATTTTACAGTACCTAGAACAAAAACTACCCAATAATATGAATTATAAATGGTTAAATACAATACATCGATTTTAGAAGAAAACTCACTAAATTTCATTCAAGTAAAACCTCTTAGTAGAAAACAAAAAGTCAAATCAATAACATCTTAAAAATCTCTTTGGAAAGTAAATACATGTATGTGAATTTATGGAGGGAAATTATTTCAAATGAAAAAAGTAAACTGAAAACCTATGCAAAATTAAAACAAATTACAAATTTGAATAAGCTAGACTGGGAGAAAAGGAAATGGTATACAAAATTTAGAATTAGCAACCACAATCTGGAAATAGAAAAAGATAGACACACACAACCAAAAACTCTAGTAAAAGAGACAGCCTATGCCAAAGATGTAATGACAATTTAATCAAAGATGAGGAACACTTTCTATTGGCTTGTCAGAAATATGATATTGAACGAAAAATATTCTTTTAAATTACCGGTAGTAAAATCCAAATTTCACCAAAGATAAAAGACAGTAAAAATCTATTCACATATTTACTTTCAAGTAGAGATACAAACATTATTTTAAATTTAGCTGATTATATATGTACAACAGAGGGGCTCTTGAACTAATATTATTCATTTTTCACATAAATTTCATAAAATATCCCTTTTTGCTATAACACAATATTATTATATTAGGGATACATAAAAATTGCATTTCAAATATAGCAAAGACTGTATACATCTTCTATTACAAGTTTCAGATTTGTTTCTATTCTTTCTAGGATTTACACATGATGAAAAAAGAGGACTGGATTTGGTTGAGGATATGTTTAAAAGAAGGAGTTGGATCAGAGTTTTCACTTAATAATGTAGTCTACATAATGCATCCTTCTGATTCATTAAATGTCTTCACATCTACCATTAAAAAATCATATAAGCAATATTTGTTGCAGGTAAGCAACCACATTTCCTAATTCATTTCTTCTATTTACTAAAAGATGTGTCTTGTTAACTAACCGAGTGTGGAATTTCCGTCATCGTTTTTCAGAGACGTCTGGACAGATTTTCTTTAAATCTGGTACGAAGACGGTCATAATTGGAAAAATGTGCACATCGATTTATTTTTGATTTCTTTGACTGACTGGCAGACATGTTTGTCCTAAAAAACACCAAAAATCAACGTTTGGACATGTCATCAACTGTTTCTCAGACATGCCTTGACCAATTTCATTCAAACTTGGCATTGACATCAAGCATGGTGGGTTATTGATGCACATCATATTTTTTCGTGATTTGATTCAAAATGGCGGACTGGTGGCCATTTTGTTTTTGTTACGAGTGTTCTGCTTATTTTACAGTGATTGTACATTTGAATTAAATTTTGTACAAAGGCAAGATATAATGTGTTAAATGTTGTTTTCAGTTAATTTTCGTTTTCATCAAAATTTAGCTGAATGGCGGCCATTTTCGTCAAAAATGAATAAAATCACAAAATTCAAACACGTCATCAACAGTTTCTTGGACATGCCTTGACCGATTTCATTCAAACATTGCATTGAAATCAGTCATAGTGGGTGACTGATGCATGTCTGCTTATTTTACAGAGATGATTGTACAGATTTGGGTTAAATTTAGTACAAAGGCAAGATATCACTTTGTTTTATTTTGTTGACCTTCAAATGACAGCCATTAATTGTCCCAAAAATCAACATTTGAACATGTCATTAACAGTTTCTGGGGCATGCATTGATCAATTTCATTCAAACTTAGTCTTTATACCTATTTCATGCACATTTGTAGTAAAAAGGCTAAATACTATCCCAATATTTAAACATAATCTGACTATGCTTTTCATTGACAATGACTTGTTATCGATAATTCAAGATGTATCTAGTTCAGCAAAGATATACAGCTTTTGATAACCCTACATGTGTACCCTACCTGAAGTGTATTGCCAATTGTAAATTGTTTTTGTCAACATGACAAAATGGTGTGACATTGCATAAGATTTCACTGAAACTTGCATGGAACTGACTATAGAATGTTGGTCAAATTGAGAAGACATAACCGATACTGTGAACATGATTACCTGGTAACTCATCATGCAGCATTTTCTTTAACCAGATAAGGGTTAAACAAGAGTTTTGTTAACTAATCCGCAAGCTAGTGAAGAAAATTATGTCTGAACACAAAAATATGTTAGGGATAAACTGTTTTTGAAGTTCATTCACTGGCTTGCTCGAAAACGGGGACTATTAATTTGGGTTTGTTTCGTACGTACGTACATCCGGAGCTATATCTCGGACACCCATTTACGGATTTCATTCAAACTTTACATGAAGACAATACATAATGTCTTACATATGCGCGTCAAGTGACTTGATCAGAGAAAAATGGCCAACTGACGGCCATTTTGGATGTAAAATTTGCTATGTTTGAAACCTAAACGTGTCCGCAGCAGTTTCTCGGAGATGACTGGGCCGATTTGGATCAAAGTTGGTATGATGATCATACATATTGGGTTGTAGGTGCACGTCATTTTTTTTTTCCGTGATTCAAACAAATATGGCTGACTGGCGGCCATCTTGTTTTCCATGGTACCCATGCTACTTTATCTTAAATGCAATGAACGTTTCTATTTAAATTTTGTACAAAGATAGTATACCAAAGGATACATTTGTACCAACATTAGTTTTGTGATTCGATTCAATATGACTAACAGATGCCCAAATTTCCTGTAAAAGTGTTAAATCGTAATTTTTTACATGTCCAGAGCTGTTTCACAGAGATGACTAGGCCAATTTAGATCAAAGTTGATATGTTGATCATACATATATGGTTATAGGTACACGTCATATTTTTTTCGTGATTCGAACAAATATATCTGACTGGCGGCCATTTTGTTTTTCATGGTACATGTACCCATGCTACTTTCTTTTGAATGCAATGAACCTTTCTCTTTAAATTTTGTACAAAGACAGTATACCATGTAATTTGATTCAATATGACTGCCCAATGTCCAATTGTCATGTAAAAGCACTAAATCATAATTTTTTTACAAATCCATCTCCTATTAATGGTTTCAATCTAATCTCAATGACTTCATCAGCATCAAATTGATATGTCAGATCACAACATTTTGGACGGGGACTGTGTCATTAACAATGACTTGTTCATTTTCTAATGATATCTTCAGTTCTTAATTGAAATGTGCATTGCTAACAACCGAGCTATCTCAGCCGACAGGCTGCTTGTTCTTTATTTTTTGCAAGAATCTTTTAGACATATAGTGCAGCTATAATTATGACTTTTGAAGCCAGTTCTTAACACCGACATGACTGTAACATCATCATTTTTGCATAGAATAAAACCAAATCATTTCAAGTATCATGACTATCCAAATCATGATACAATGTGTCACACAATTTGAAGCTGTGTTTTTGAAATTTAATAATTAACTTTCCAGAAATACACTCAAACAATAATTAATATTTGCTGTATCTGCAAACGTCACCATTTAAACAATCATTTTGATCATAACATTGAGAACAGTACATGTACATTGCCATTATGTGACAAGTTGTCTGTCAGTCAGGTCAGTGTTTGAATGAGCGGGTAAGCAGTAAAATGTGGTCTGTTTCCAGAGAGGGATGATCTAAAAAAGCAATGGATTGAGTACTGTAAAACTGTACATAAACCAAAAATTGCATTTATTGTATACTGGATCAATTAAATAGACCATTTAGACCAAAGACGCACCTCTGTCATGGAACTGTATGTAATAGAGCAGATACATTAATTACTGGTAATTTTAATGTAGGCTAGAGCATGAATGCAACGAGTACATGCATTGATTCATATTCACACTTATGCATGTACTATTTCAAAATGTCTTACAGCATAGTTCATTTGATGTTGAACACTGACGGCTACTTACAAGAAGCAAAACAACTCATTAGTAATTTATAATTGTTGCTAATAGAAAGTTTCAGCTCAGCCACTCTCCAAGCAGAAGATATAAATACCTTAATTTTTACTGCATATTTATCTCTCATCTCTGGTGAGCCTCTGGGACATTTGTATACACGTCTCTACAAGTCTTTTAAAAATATTATCTTATCATCTATTATGCAAACTCTTAATATTACCACCTGTGGTATACTTGAAATTAATATCTCACGGCATGCAATAGAAAAAGATTATTATTGATTTTGTTGCTTATAATACAAAGAGTTTTCTTTTTCTGATCGTCAAATAAATTGATTTTTTCATTGTTGCCTTCAAGGACATACTTCACTGAAGATTAGCTTGATTGTGTTTTAAATAAAACATGTTTTTTTTTTTTAAAGCATGAGCATACTTCGCATATATCCTATGTAACTTATTTATTCTAAAATCCCTTGAGGCTTCAATCAAATCTGTTGTACATGTAGGTGTATTCTCATAGAAAATTTATTAATCTTAAAGCAAAGGTGTATTTGTTTCATGTCTTACTTATTGGCTGAAGGCAATATTAATAAGCATATGAATGAGGTTTTATATGTCAGCCTGAGTTTTGCTATTTGATTGCATGTAGTTTTGATTTATATACAGTGGGAAGCCTTTTCTCCTATAATGAATTGCATACATGTGTTATGTGCAGAAACATGCCCAGTAGAGCAAAATGTGAATTTGGTTTAAACTACCTTAACAGATTTGAATGAAACTAGGTACATAGGCGCTTTGAGGTAATCCACAGATGTAATTAGTTTAAGGGTAAAATCGTGCCTATTAATTATGCACTTTGCATAAATTAGGCAACTTTCTGATACCTCTCATCAGATTTAAATTGGTATGTACATTGTACATGTACTGCTCTTGGATAAAACAGACTGTAAACCACAAATGTACAATCAAATCTGTTTCTTTTCTTTAATTCATTCTGTTTATTTACTTAATTACTGTGGATCAGAATGCTTTCACATTGTGCATCTCCGAATTCAGATCTATATTAGCTGACATGATAGGCTAACCTTAAATTTTTAATGTCAAATCCGCTTTTATTTCTCATCACACAACGGTTCTTACTAAGCTCCTCTGATTTCAAATGGAATACGATTTAAGAACTCTTGAGTTATTATTGCCCTCTAGGTGAATACAGAACATGTGTTTCCACATTTCTCAAAACGTACTTCAGTCTTGGAACCAGGGAATTTAATGCATATAAAAGCAGTCAATGTGGCATTCTCATTGCCAAAGAAGCACTAGACAGATTTTTAGGCAATACACAAGATTGATGTTTTAATATGACGGCCTGATGCAAAAAATGCCCTCAACTGCTTTATATTGAAAATCCATTCATCAATAGCATATTCACTATTGTCCATATCATAATAAATAGTTTTAATTTTCAAGGGACATGAGCTGTGTTATTCGCCTGTTTTATTAGCTCCAATGTCGACTGTTGCAATTCAATTTTGTCTGTTCTGTGATTTTTTTGAAGCCCAATAAATTATTCACACATGTGAACATCTCTTTGCTCTGTTATATTTTCTCTAGGCATGTATCAACTTTTTTATTAGCTCCGCTGTCGACTTTGTTGAGCGGAAGCTTATCATATAAGTGATTGTCCGTCGTTCGTGTCAATGTTTTACTTTTTCGACTTCTCCTACAAGCCTGAATGCTTTGATACTTGGTGTATATGTACTAGTACTTTGGGCAGACCTCTCTTAGGTTTGTTCATTTCATGACGATATCTTCAATTCTCTAATTTTGGTGAATATTTTTGTCATTTTTGGTAAAAAGTGATATTTTCTACTTCTTGTTAAAAAACTCATGTCCAATTGCTTTGATATTACATATACATTTTTTTGTATAGGTACTACATGTGGACCTTTTTCAGATTTGTTCATTTTGTAAAGATATCTTTAATTCTCTAATTTTGGTGAATATTTTTGTCATTTTTAGTAAAAAGTGATATTTTTGACTTCTTGCTTTGATATTACATATGTGGGGCGCGATACGTTGCGGATATGGAAATGTAACGAAATATAGTATGCAAAATTATCTGCTACACAATCAGCACCAATCACCACAGAAGAACGACTTAATGAAAACTCAGAATTTATTCACTAACGGAAAACCCGCTGGAAATCCGGAGACTTACAACTCGATATCAACGATATAACACAAATTGTAAGAATGATACAGAATTGGCAGTATGCCCTTGATATACATCGATAAACTCTTGATCGTGTAAGAAAATTAGTGGGAAAACTTCTAATTGGATGAATATAAAAATTGAAACAAAAGAACACACTGCGGTGGTTTCTACCACGTTCGCATTCATGTCGTCGTCTCACTTCAGAATCCGTATTTTGCAACAATGTATAAGTCAGAATACAGTATTATTGAACTTGTATAAAACGAAATGAATAAAGCGATTAACAAATATTGCATGTTTCAATTACAATGCTTCACAGATAAATGATTCAGAAATTACTCCGACAACATATATACATGTAGGTACTACATGTGGACCTCTTTCAGATTTGTTAATTTCATGGTGATATCTTCAATTATCTAATTTTGATGATTATTTTTGTCATTCTTGTTGAAAACAGCAAGTCCCATTGCTTTGATACTATACATATTGTTCATTTTCAAATGATATTTTCTGTTCTTTAATTGAAATGTGCATTGCTAACAGCGGCGCTATCTCAGCCGACAGGCTGCTTGTTTTTATTCCGTGTAATTTTCGAGCAAGAATAACCTTTGTTTCAAATGAGTAAACATCACACATTTTTATTACATACCACAAATATCAATATTCATCAATAGTATTAAAAGCATTTACTCACTTTTAGTAAGTAGACATATAACAAGATTTTGATAGGACCACAATGTTTTTGTTTTGTTATTTTTTCTAACTTTCAGCCATTACTTATTTCACAGGCGTTGGTTCTCTCACTTCATTGTACAAAAATCAAAGAATTAGAGTTGACAGGGAGACATCTACGATCACTGGCTGATATGGTTTTACATCAACACAGCCAGGGTGTAATGAGTCGGTATAGGTATAATCAAGTTGATGAGAGTCCTCTTTCTTGTTTTCGCAAACGTAAAGGTGAGTCAGGTGTATTCTATAGTATTCTGTTTATATGGAGATCAATCAAACATGACACAGATATTTTTATTGTAATACTAACGGTTGATTTAAAATGATAGAGATGCACATTTTTTTTTTCCAGTAGATTTGCCACAGTTACTGTGCGTGTTTGAGTTTCATGTGAACACACATGTAGTTTACATGTGTCTTATGGGACCCACATTAGATTATGATTATGTGCTACCATGACTGTATGGCTTTGTGTCGCACTTCCTCATTATTGTGCATGGAAGCAAAAACACATGTTTAGAGTTGGTGTTTACACTATAAAAATAAAACATTTCTTGTAAGCATGAGAAGGAAATTGCAGATATCAAATGAGTTGCTATGTAATGTAGTATTTATTAAATAAGTATAGTTCACTGTACTATGCTAAACATATTGTATATAAAATGTATTTTATTGCAACATATGGAACTACTACATTAGTTTAATAAATTCAATATTACATGGTCAAAATTGTTGATATCCAATTTATCACATATATGCATCTCCAGCTGTTTCTAATATTAAAATCGTTATTTGTGTATGCACATCTTATTGCATCCTATTTGCATAAAGCAATGCCGGTCCGTGAACAAGCCCAATTGAAGAAATAACTAATTTTTGGAATCATCAATGTATTTACAAATTGGCAGCATTTTAACTAAATTGTAGGCTAGTTCTATCAGCAGTCTTCATGTATTTTAATGGCAATTAGCAAGCAGGGGGTACTGGCAGTTCAGTGGAGATCCTGTTAGAAACAGCGAAATCCTCAAATGCGATTTGAAAATAAAATATGTATTGGTGAATGCATGAGAAAATTCAGATTGATCATATTTCAAACAGTTTTCACAACAAGCCATGTTTTTGCCTTTTAAGAGGTGATTAGTTGGTGATATCACAATTTCAAATTGCTTGCAAAGAACAATCATATTTGCCACTCAGAGGGTATTACATGGCTTTATGTCACTGATACTACATGATATATGGAATAAAGTGTACTGAAAAAAATCCATTAAATATATCACTGAAAGCTGTCGGTACTTGCTATAATATATGCTTTGCTGTCTTGTATTAATAATGTTACATGTATCTGCAATGCAAGGAGACTGTCTCATTTGTTTTCCCATTGATTTATTTAGCAGAATCACCTCCTGATATCTCTGATGATCGTTTGATTTGTGAAAATACAAAAGAGAAACGGGCACGGTTATCCCAAACACAAGAAACATTTGGTCAAAATAAGCAACCTGTGGTACAAAAACTGACATATAAGGTAAGATTCATGTAATGCATATCAAGTACTACCGGTACTCATTAGCTGTTGTAGGGATGTACAATGGTAATAAGAAATGGCATGATAATGATTCCTGATATTACAAGGTGAAAGAAGGGAGTACATGTATGTAACTGTAGCTCCAGTTGAGTTCCATGCTGAAATACCACAGAGATTGCTGCCACTACTTGTCAATTATTGTATTAGCTATCATTATTGTACAATTTTGCTCTTCTGATTCTGGTTAATGCTTTTATGTAGATTGTGAAAAACGATGTATTTATACCATTTTCTTTCTTCTGTTGTAGTTAGTAACTGGATTTCATGCGAATGAATATGTTCCTGGTATGGCGGATGGTGACACAAATGTATTTCACTGTACTGTCAAATTTGCCGGCACAAGTGTGATTGAAGGCATCAGGCAACTTGGTCCAGCAGGGTTAGCAAAATTACCTCTGCCATCTCATCTTGGGAATATACATTCACTGGCAAAAAATTGTATGATTATATCTGAAGGAAATCACTGACATCCTTACCTGTATCATCAATCTGACATGCTGTATTTCGCTGCTCTACAAATACGCATCAACACTTGTGTACTTGTTTTTTCCTGCAGCACTGCTAAATTAGATTTCTGAATTGTATTCACTTACAACTGTTAATCTTATGTGAAGTGTAAGGAACCAGGGGAATTGTATTTTACTATTCAAAAAGTCTACTTCAAATATTACCGCTGGCCAGTAATGTTTGACAAGGCTTGCATTTTGAAACTTTGTATAGATTTGTACAGTATTTTTTGCTTTACATTCTACTTGATGTTTGCAAGGCATTATTGTGCACGTACTGGACCATCATGCATTCGAAACTGGTGTTATCCAAGCAAGCAGTATTCCTAAAGAACAGTTTTGAAGTGAATTGTCATAATGTTATTCTTAGTATATATTTGAGTGCATGCAGTACCGTTCATGCTATATGCTGGAATTGAGTGAAACTGGCTTGCAGCATGAACAAAAGTTTGTATTATCCTGAATCTGAGTGAGAAACGATAGATGCATGAGCCATCCTGGTTTGCGCGACAATTGGTTCCTGCATCAGTTAGCTGCATAATCCGAATCTTAATATCATGAATAGCAGGAATTAATGATTACAATGATTGTTTAATAATGTCATTATGACATAAAATATTTGGAGATGATAATTTAAAAAAATTATTATTCAACATGTGATCTTTGAGGGTTGTAGACAGCTTAATGAAAGAACCGGAGTGAAATGCCTGTCATTTAATATGTACAATATACTGTGCAGTAGACTTATTTCTGACATATTTTTGTATAAAATTTTAACAGTTCTTGTTTTATAATTCAGCCTTTATTTTTGCTTACCCATGAATTTTAAAAATTTGATGTAGCTGTTCTTTAGATAACTTTTTAGAATACAATTTGATTCATATACATGGTCATGTTTATTATTATATGCTTGCCCCCATATGTTGTCTCAGTATTCGATGTCTTGGGTGTTCACACTGCTATTCACATTCGTTTTGCAAACGTACATAAGAACATGTGCGCTAGTCTATCGGGAGGTTGTTCATTTGACGTTGGTAAAATATATCTGATTGGAAGCGTCTAAAACACCCAACCAAAGTTGTCCTAGCATATGGCAATGATTATACAAGATGACCTGATATCCAATTTATAAAGAGGATATAAACATTAATAGAATCCACCAAGGTACAGTGGTGAGGAGAATTTGGCTTGCATTTTGTATGGTCATCTTCAACAACAAATACATTTGACATTACATGCATGTATGATTGAAAACGTACTTGAATGAATAATCAAAAGTAATCTTACAGATATAACAACCATATGGCCTTGCTGTGATAAGATATTTTCAAGAGTATGAATGCACTGCATCATAAATGAAAATACAGCATGGATACACTGCATCAAAAGTGAAAATACAGCATGAATGCACTGCATCAGAAGTGAAAATATAGCATGAATGCACTGTATCACAAGTGAAAATACAGCATGGATACACTGCATCAGAAGTGAAAATACAGCATGGATACACTGCATCAGAAGTGAAAATACAGCTTGAATGCACTGCATCACAAGTGAAAATACAGCATGAATGCACTGCATCACAAGTGAAAATACAGCATGGATACACTGCATCAGAAGTGAAAATACAGCATGGATACACTGCATCACAAGTGAAAATACAGCATGAATGCACTGCATCACAAGTGAAAATACAGCATGAATGCACTGCATCACAAGTGAAAATACAGCATGGATACACTGCATCACAAGTGAAAATACAGCATGGATACACTGCATCACAAGTGAAAATACAGCATGGATACACTGCATCACAAATGAAAATACAGCATGGATACACTGCATCACAAATGAAAATACAGCATGGATACACTGCATCAAAAGTGAAAATACAGCATGAATGCACTGCATCAGAAGTGAAAATATAGCATGAATGCACTGTATCACAAGTGAAAATACAGCATGGATACACTGTATCACAATTGAAAATACAGCATGGATACACTGCATCACAAGTGAAAATACAGCATG